AGATTAATATGTATCAAAAATTTCAATTTTTTAAAAAATGTCTCAGAACCCCATTTTCCTAGCAAACTTCCCATATAGTATTAACCTTAATATAATATCATTATTCATATCATAGCTATATCAAATCGATAATATTATTGTGATATCGAATCGATATCATTAGAATTTTTAGAGTTTCTGTAAAATTTTTAAAATCATTACAAACATAATATTCAAGCTCAATTTGGTAGAGAAAAATTTTCTTTTGCAGAAAAATAAATAAAGAACTATTGGTTTTTATTGGTTAATAATAATCATCAAACAAAAAATTTGTAGAATATGATAAATCTTTTTATAGATCGATAAACATAATGATCAAAATTAAAGAAATCTTAGAATCATAACAAATGTAATATTTCAAGTTCAATTTAGTATCTGCACATTTAAAATATAAGAAAAAAATTTTGTTTTGCATAATCTATTTATCAAAGATTTTTCTCATAATATTATTATTTTTGTTATTTTTTATTTTATATAAAATTTATACGTTATTTTAAATTCCTTAATAATTCTATATACATTAATCTTTAAAAATTATAAAAAAATTAATTATTATAAAACATTCGAAATTTTGATATAGAATCATTAATTAAATATACAAACCTTATAAAAAATGTATTATTTTTTATTTCGATTTCTTATAGGAATTCAGTCTTAAAGGTCAGGTTTTACCTTTAGTAGTCTTATGTTAATTGTCAATTCCAAAGTTTATATTTCTTTTATAAGTTATTCATAAATTTATTATTATAATTATTTATCAAAAGTTACTTATTATAGATAAGTGATTAGACTTTTCTATAACTTATAATTTCAATATTTGTTTACAGTCATTTAAAACTGTTTAATATCCCTAATCACTATAAATGCACACTTAATAGAAATGCACAATAATCTTAAGTTCATTATTTATAGAGTTGCAATTATTAAAAAGCGTTAAAACTTTTTATACTTACATTTCAAAAAGGTGCAAATTTTAATGATGATGAAGAAATAGTCAAAAACATTGAATACATTGCTGAAGTAAATATATCTGAATCCATTATTACTAACCAAAAAATTTCTTACACTCAATCTAAGATAAAAATAATGAACTCAAAGCAAATTTCAAAAATAACATAAAAAAATTAAACACTGCATTTAAAACTATCACAAACTTACAATTTTTAATCTATCAATCTTTTAATATTGATATAACAAAGAAAATATACATTCCAATACTTATTGAACCAGGTGTAATCAAGAATTTTATTATTGATAAACATTCAAATAAGAACATTAAATGTCAGGTTATTTACTGATAAAAGCAAACAACAATATTTTTTCAATTTTTTTTTAATTATATTATTTCAATATTATCACTTTTCAAGAAACAAATTTTCATTTTCCACTCATCTCAAAAGTTTTGCACACACAATCTCCTAATATACATTTCATTATTTAGTACACAAAGTGGTAGATAAAGAATTGATTATGATACTGGTTTAATTATTAAGAAGTTTTATGCTGATCATATCTACAAATATATTTTTAAACAAGAATGCTACTAATCAATCAACTTTCAATTTAAAAACAAATAATAATTACAAATTATCAACTTCTATACCCCTGCATCCAATGATCTTTTATAAAAAAATATTTTTATTGAGATTACATAACTTATTAAAGAAGCAAATAATCTAAATATATCCATTATTCTTCTTGGAGATATGAATACAAATCCTTCTAAATTTTTTTTCAAAATTAGAAATACCTTTTATTATTATCATCAAGTGTAGATAAGAATGATAAGAATGATTTATTCACATTTAAAGAAAAACCTATACCATCCACTATAGATCATATTTTTCTTTCATCAGATCTTATTTCCAATTTTAGTCAACTTTCAGTAATTCTCATTGATGCAGTTTATTCCAATTCCTTCCCTTCCTAGTTTTTAAATATATTAGAATATAATTGTAAGAAGACTGGGAAATCTTTACTATATGTTTCTGTCATACAGTCATTTGATCTTAATCTTACAAATTAGGTTTTTTTTATAATTAAGCAAATCAGTTTTACAAGCACCTTAATAGTAATATGAATCATAGATTCTCAAGCACTATCATATAAAAATGTTTTTATTTATTAAAAAAAATCATGTGAAGAATTAAAAAATTCATAAATTAAAAAAATAGTTGCATCATATATGTTAAGCGGGCAGCCGAAAGGCATACTTTTAAACCCAAAATAACCATAGATTAAAAAAATATTTTTTTTTTTTGTAAACTTGATTTTATTTCCTTTAAAATTTATTCATTATTTGACCGGCTTTTTTTCTATCAAAAAAAATTTATAGTAATGCGAATCAAGCCAATATCCCAGTAATCTTTTTGTAAATAAAATATATGTATGCGAATCTAATACTACCAATTTTTTTGCGAATTAATAAAGTAACATCGATTGTTGTGGTGGTGACATAGAAAAAGCAAAAATCAAAAATTATTGGTTAACGTTCGATCCGAATCGGTCCGATCAATTAGAAGATTTAAATAAAATTTATTTCAATTCTCACGCCTAGATTAGAAAAAAAAAAAGAAAATGGATTTCACGAATAATAAAAAGGATCTTGAAAATACTTTTACTTTTGAGTCTTCAAGTCCCCCAAAACAGCCTGCTCCTCCTTCTCCGGTAGAAGCTCATAAAGCTAAATATAAACGTAACAGTCTTCCTAAGAATGCTGAAGAAGCAAGGCAACGACGTTTTGAACTTGACACGCAAGTTCGAAAAAAACACCGCGAACAACTCATTACCACTAAACGTTTCAAACATAATCTTGAAGAATACGAAGAAGATGAAACTGGTATTATTTTGAATCGGATTTGTAAAAACGAGTATCATCGAATTTTCTGTTTTGCTGGAATAATTTTTTTGATTAAACCGCAGAACCAGAATATACTTTATCTCAAAAAGACATTGAAAAGTTGAAATCTGGTTTGAATGTAAAATACAATTTTTTTATTTGGTATCTGCTATTTATGCTTTTTTTTAGTTGTACAATTAAAATTCTCATTAATATTGTAGAATGTTAGCCGAGATGCACGACTTTCAAGTCTCCAGGACTTGAGTAAATATCTCGTGGACCCTTCCGATACATTGAAGCAGTTTGTAATTGAAGGAGATTGTGTAGAGATATTGATCGTATGCGTATTTGCCTTTGTGTTCATTCATGGATGAGAGTTTTATCTAACATTCTTTTCGATTAAATATAGAAATTCTTATCCAGTATTGATCCGGCTGAACAACTTCAGGCTACTTGGTGTATTACAAGTATGTCCATTATATTTTCAATATTACATTTTGAATTATAATACTTAAATTCTATAACGCGTCTTTAAATAAAGACATTGCTGCTGGACCTAAAGAATATGTTCAGAAAGCTTTGTTGGCAGTTCCATATTTGATCCCTTTCCTCGAAAGGGAAAATATTGTAAGTCGAATATGTCGCGACGCGTAAGAGAAATTCACGTCACATTTTTTTGAAGATTGAATAACACGTTTTTTATTACCTTAATAATTATGTTGCTATATTTATCTTCAACAGTCTTTGCAAGATCAGGCTGCTTGGGCTATAGGTAATATTGCCATAGAAAGTTCTGAATGTAGGGATTTACTTCGTAAAAATGGAGTGTTGATCCCCTTGATCAATTTGCTCAATTCTAAGGTAATACCCTATATGATATGAAAAATTTGAAAATAGTTCAGTTGCATTAGAATTTTGGAATTGTTATAAACTTTATGTTGGCGTTAGGATGTAAATCTCATCCAAACAGCCTGTTTCGCCCTCTCAAATCTTGCTCGTGGTCCAAACGCTAAATTACACGAGTTCTTCAAAGCTTGCATCAACAAACGTCTTTTACAGCATTTAGAAACTGATGAGGTTTGAGAGATAATCTTTGTTTTGTTGTCAAAATTTTTTTTAAAAATAACGTTTTATACTATTATTATAGAGCTTTGAAGTTGTCTCTGAGGTTGCTTGGGTGTTAACTTATATAACTAGTGACGATGACAATAAGTATACTGATCAATTGTTAAACGAAGGAATTGCACCACTTCTGGTATTTGAAATTTTTTTTATGATGTAACAAAATCTTTTTTACATGTTAATATAAGTATGATCATTATATTAGGTTAAACACATGAGACCTTTGTTGAATCATGGACCTTTATCGTTACCTTTAGTTAGAACATTGGGAAATATTGCTAGTGGTCCCGATACAAACACAGATCATTTGATTCGGCAATCCGATTTCCTGCCTTCAATGATTCAATATATTCAGAGCGATTGCAGGTAAAATTTTTAGAATTTACCGTCTGTTTATTATAAATCGTGAACAAGTTGTCGAGATTACTTTATTCATAGGCCGGTCAAGAAAGAAAGTCTTTGGGTTATGTCTAATATAACAGCAACGTGAGTAATTATTTTACGTGATCATCTTTTATGTGTTAGTTTATACATTCCCTTTTTATTAAAATTTCTTTAAAAAATTAGTCGCCGTCCAGAAGTTTTAGTCAAAGTGTTTAATGCTGGATTTATCCCAATTCTTTCAAATATCGCTACCCATACAAACTTTGATATTCGAAAGGAAGCTGCTTACAGCTTAGTAAATATTGCATCACATGGTGAAGAATTCATGAAGTCTTTACCTCACCAAGAACTTTTACCAGGTATGGAAATTTTTTTTTTACGCGTCAGTCACGCGTCTGCTGAACACGTGATTTATAACAATGAAACTTGGAATTTTCAGGCTTCCTAGAATTTATTCGGTCCCAAGATTATGATTTGATTCGCTTAGGATTAGGCTATATTGAAATGTTATTATCACAAGTTCCGGAAGTAAGTTAACCTTTATATCATGAAATTTTACACTTTTTTAATTTGAAACTTATAAAACCTTTAAAAATAAAATATATATATATAGAGTAAGCAATTATTAGAAAATATGAAGGGTATTGACGCATTAGAAACTGCTATATTGATAGAAGACGAATCATTACGTAATGCAGCTAGTCGTTTAATGGATAAATACTTTGGGGAAGAATTTTCTGAGCAAATGCAAGTTCAAATTGAAGAAACCACTTGAGCGAAGAATTAGTTGAAAGAAAGAAAGTTTTTTTTTTTATAGTTAGCACTTTAAAACTTTATTAACTGTATTAAATAAACTTATCTTGTTCTTTCGAAAAAAAAAAAGGGTTCTTTAACGTTAATTTATTTATATTACAAAGAATATAAGATATTTAAATAAAGATAAAGTAATCAAATTTTAGCTTTTGAACTCATGAAATTATTAATAAGCGATTGGTTATAAAGAATATAACAATATTTTACTAATTATAATCTATTTATAACAGGGAATTTTGAATAAAATGCATTATGAATTATAAACTATTTTAACTATTTTAATATTAAAAGTGATTATTCAGGCGCATGTGAAAATAAAAAGGAAACAGATTCACCATTATGAGTGCGTCGAATAGCTTCAGCTAAAGTAGGAGAAATATCAATAGTATCAAGTTTTGAACAAATAGCTTTTTTATCTTCATGCGGTATAGAATTTGTCACTACTAATTTTTCTAAATCCGAACCATTAATTACATCAATAGCTTTACCAGAAAGGATACCATGAGCCACTATGGCGTATACTTTAGTAGCACCACGTTCCTTAAGGGTCTTAGCAGCCAATGCTAAGGTACCGCAAGTATCTGCCATATCATCAACAACGATGGCAACCTTTCTATTAACATCACCGACTAAAACCATACGTGACACTTCATTTGCCTTCTTGCGTTCCTTATGAATTAAAGCAAAATCAAGATTCAAATGATCCGCGATCGACGTTGCTCTACATAAAAAGAATGAAGTCAGGTAAGAAAAAAAAAATTTTTTTTTAAATAAAATTTAGAAGGAAAATTATACCTCTTTGCACCACCGGCATCAGGGGAAACGATAACTCCATTTTTCCAATCAGGAATATGAGTTTTAATATATTTTAACATGGAAGGTTCACAAAATAAATTGTCTACAGGTACATTAAAAAATCCTTGGATTTGACTAGCATGTAAATCTATGGTAATAACGTGATTTGCACCAGCCACAGTTATCATATTGGCAACTAATCTAGCAGAAATTGGAGCTCTTGATTTATCCTTTTTATCTTGTCTCGCATAAGGAAAGCAAGGAATTACAGCGGTTATCCTACGCGCCGAAGCAGTTTTACATGCGTTAATCATGATTAAAAGTTCCATTAAATTATCATTAATTTCTCCACATCCAGATTGAATAATGAAAACATCTTCATCACGTACACTTTCTCCAATCGTCACTGAAGTTTCCTGATTAGAATATTTTAAAACTACAACTTTGGATAAATCTATACCTATTTGTCTGAACTCATAATAATAAGATCAAAAATCATTAAACGTGACAATCGATGAATACGAACGTGATACATGGATGAATTAAAAAAGATTAGATATTATTATCATAAAAAAATATATAAGAAAAATTTTGAATCGAATTGAATTGATAGGATAAACAAAAAAAAAAAAGGAAAAGGATAAGGAAAAAATTTGCAAAATACGTACTTTGCTACAAGCTTTGTAAGTTCGACGTGCGAGCTACCCGCAAATATTTTTATAGAATTAGAAGACATTCTTACGTGAGAGAAAGATTTTGTAGTAAATGAAGAAAAGTCGTGATTGAATTCCAAACCAATAAAAAAGAGAAGGGAAAGAAGATATATATAAGTCACCAGACCGTTAGTAGTACAATAAAATAAATTGGAATCCAAATATTTGTTTCCCTAGAAAAAAAAAATTAATTTTTTTTGTGGAAAAAAATTTTTTTTTTACTCAAAAATTAAAAACTTTATTTGATTTAAAAACGCCTACCTATTTAAAAAAAAAACAGATATGGCGCAGTTTCGATAGTCTAAAAAGGTTAAAACAAATAATAGCATAATAGCAAGCCACCCCACAATGAATTTTTTATCAAATTTCCATCGACCCAATGAAACATTACAATCTTAAATACAGATTAGAAATGAATGTATTACAAAGTCATTTATGTAAATTAAATTAAAAATATACCTTTTTTGAAATCCCCTCACAAAGTCTTTTGTTTGTTTGAAATAGTTAGTGTTCATGAATGAAATAAATGGTATGAATATAAAAGAGCTTTGTTAAAGGGCTAATTGCTGATATTTATGGAATTTTACATTTTCAGATACCTCGGAGGACTCTTTATATAGACGTCGTATTCCAACAGGACACGCGTCGTTTGATGAGTTGTACGCATACTTATTACTTGTTGTATATATATTTTCGTGACTTTTTAATTAAATTTCTTGGAATAATTGTGATTATAGATACGTAAAATTTTTCGGGAATATTCCTGAGGAACAAAATTTACTGATATATCAGAATGAGTCATTTGAATCTTTGTATGTAAAAAGATTGAATTGATATTTATATAAATTCGTAATAAATTCTTTTAAATGATTTTTATTTTTCTTACTCAATTATACGATTAGGCATCAACAATATTATCCTAACAACGAAAATACGGAAATGATAAAACGACAATGCATGTTTGATGACTTGTAAGTGATTTCATTATTTTAATGAACATTTAAATCATCTCGATTATGTCTAATTTATTTAAATATTTTATTAGATATTCGAAGTTTGCAGATAAATTTCAAACTTTTGACGAAGAAAAATGTTCGCCCGATTTTATCTACACTCTCGTTGATAACGCCTCAAACGGTAACGTTGACATTTTCATTTTGATCTTTCATTTTTTTAAATAGAATATAAAAAAGATATCTTCTCTTTCTTCAATATTAGATACAAATCAAAAATGCGAATTCACTTCATTTCCACAAACACGATCAAGTATTACTTCACCTCACAAACAAACTTTCAAAAATATTAAAATCATCAAAAGGAAATAATATTAATGCACCTAAAAAAAACATGAAATACTTAATAAACACACTTTTTTAACTAATAATTTATACATAAAAAAAATCACTAATAATAACTTGTTTGCAAAATCTAATTTTTTTTTAGAATTAATAATTTTATAAATATCACAAACTATGTAAACTTGGCGTAACTTTTGGGCAAATGATGATAATTCTATCAATTATATTTTTAGCCCAAGCAAATCATTGATTAGTTAAGCCGATTATGACTAAATAAACATAATTATGTTATTTAGTCATAATCGGCTTATACTAGGTTATTTAGTCATATAATAACCTAATTATGGCTAAATAATTTAAATATGACTATAAAATCTATATATAACCAAATAATCTAATATAATCTATAAATATAACCATATGGGATCTATTGCAATAGAAAGGGGGAAATTACCGGGAAAATTAAAGTAAAATTGATTTTTTTCAACAAGTTTCTTCTTTTTCTATTCAAAGGTTCCATATGATTTATATAACTTATATATGGCTAAATAACCTAGACAATAACCTAAGTGTATTTAAATTATGTAATACATAACCTAGTTGTACCAGTTTTTCTGCTCTTTTGTTTAATTATCTTCCTTACTTTTGAAATAGCTTTATTTTTCTCTTATATATTATCTAATCAATATATGATTAATCTAAATGTAATTATAACAATATAATCTAAAAGTGACTTTTTATTATTATTATTTGTGTTTATATAAATGCTTTCAAATAGAATTTAAGTTAGTTACATCCTTGATATTAATAGATATTAGCTTATTAATGATCATTTGTGATTATTAGATATCCAAGAAGTTAATTATATATTAGTCTTCTTCTGCAACTTTTTTATTGCTTATTTGTAAGCTAACCTGTTAGTCTAATACTATACTAATTGCTTATATATTAATACTTTTTATTATATTTTTCATTGCAAAAAAATCACGTTAGGTAGTGTAATAAATTCACAATCATTTTCAGTTAATTTCAGCTGATATTATAATATAACTCTAGCTGATATTTAAAATACATAATTTGAGAGATTTAACTTAGCGTCATGTTAATACTATAATAATATTATATTATAAAACTGGTAGAAAACTGGTAGAAAGTTAAGGCAATTCTATTTCTTTACAGAAACCCTTAAAATTCTAACGATATCGATTCGATATCGTTACGATATTTATGTCGATTCGATATCATAACGATATCACATCGATATGGAATCAATATCGATATTCATATCTTAACGATATCGATTTGATATCGTTACGATATTATCGATTCGATGTCGATACGATATGGTTACGATATGGTTACGATATGGTTAACGATATCGAATCGAGGTCGATGCGATATCGAATCAATAATGTCGTGACGATAACGATTCGATATCGAAACATTATCGTAAAGGTATGGATTCGATGTAGAATCCTTATTGTTACGATATAACAAATGATATGGATTCGATGTAGAATCCATACCTTTACGATAACGATTCGATATCGTATCGTTATCGTTACAATATGGATTCGATGTAGAATCCTTATCATTTGTTATATCGTAACAATAAGGATTCTACATCGAATCCATACCTTTACGATAATGTTTTGATATCGAATCGTTATCATCACGACATTATTGATTCGATATCACATTGACCTCGATTCGATATCATTAACTATATCGTAACCATATCGTAACCATATCGTATTGACATCGAATCGATAATATCTTAATGATATTATTGTGATATCGAATCAATATCGTTAGAATTTTAAGGGTTTCTGTAAAGAAGTAGGAGGACGGAGTTGAATACGGAAACCATTTGTTTGTCAGTAAGTCATTTTTTAGCCATTAATTGGATTGCTGATTTAACAGTACAAGTAACTTGTTGTAGAATAAAATTTTGATCATATTTTAATAAGATCCAAATTCTAAGATAGTGAATAAGTATCTTGGGATCTGTCAGAGTGATCCACAAAGGCATGTTATTAAAATTAAATTGAACTGCCGTAGTGATTGGTAAAAAGGATAAAAGAACTGATTTATCCCAGTTAACTTTGATAGAATTAAGGTGATAAAAACTATCAGCAATATTTAAAATATCATTGAGGTCATCTTTGCTATTGCCCAGCCATAAGGTATCATCCATATAAGCAAGAGCAGGTACATGAGCATCAATTGTAAAAGTAGTGTTGTTTAAAATATTGGGTTTCCAAGAAACTTTAGCGTGATATCCTAAGTTTGAATTTTGAATTCTACATAAGAGTGGATTGTAGTATATACACCATAAAATTGGTGATATAATTTCCTCTTGATCGATGCCTGATAAGACTGAAAAAATAGGTGTATTACCATATGCAGTAAAAACTTGATTAAAACGATTTGCAAAAATAGAAAGAATGAAACAACGAAAATTGGATGGAAGTCGAAGATGAATTAATGCATTATGAAGCATGCCAAGGTTCATTCAATCGTAAGCCTTGGACATATTTTGAAATAAAATCCATAATTCTTTTGAAGAAGATTGATTAACGTTGAAGCAAATGTTATCTAAATGTGAATAGGTTCGAAGGTTGAGCAAAATGGAAGTCCTGCAAAGTTATACACTTTTAAGACATTATGATTCGATAAAATGTAGATTAACCGTTTGTTAATAAGCTTAACTAAAGCTTTACGAAGACATTCTAACAAAGTTATAGGTCATGTATTATTAAGATTATATTCCCAAGGTTTGGGTTTGGGGATAGGATATATGTAAGCTAGGTTCCAATAATTTGGAGTAAGAAAAAGATTAAAATACTTGCAAATAAAAATCCAATATACTTTTTTCATCTTAGGGCCTAGGTGTCTCAACATTTAATTAGAAATTTTAGAAAGACCAGGAGCTTTGTCTAGAGGAAGAGCTAATATGATATTATACCACTTGTTTTCAGTTGAGAGTATCATGAGATCATTATAATATTGGGATTGATGTCAGCTAGGGGGGAGTATCACTGTGTCCATTCCTCCAGAATGGTTTTATCATGATAGTAAGTGTCAGTGACTTTTTGAAAATGATGAGCTGTTTCACGTTTGACATCACTTTCAGAGGTAAGAAGACCTAAGTTTTGAGTCGAGTTGTCCAGACATCTATCTAGTACTATAACATGCCTTTCTCTATTAAGAAGTGAATCATACATTTTTATCTGATTATCACGAAAATTATTACACCATTATTCTAAGGAGTTTTTGATAGCTTAAGCTTTATGTTCTTCTTCTTTAGACTTAGCTAGAGCTCCGAATCAGGTCAGGTCAACCTGTGACCCGACCCGACCCGACCTGAAAAATCCAGGTCAGGTAGACA